GTGTAACATCTACTATTTAAAAATAATCAATTACAGATGTTTAATTTCCTCTTTTAGTAAACAACCAATATACTCTTGCTTTTGTCATATCCATTCTCTAACCTTTTTCTTCTACCAATTAATCCAATTAATTCAAAGTCTAAAAAATTTTTTTTTATATAAATAAATAAAAAAAAACATGCTTTCACATCATCCTTCTTTCTCTTCCTTTTCCTCTAATACCAATAAAAAATATATCCACAAGTAATTTATTTTATATTGAAAAATAATAAAAATATGTAAGATTCATTTTTTATGATTAAATAAATGTAATTAATTAATTAAATATTCACAGATGTATTGACAATTAAACAATATCAATAATATATTTATTAATTAGTTCATAATGAATGTCAACAAGGCAAAAGAATTACAAGAAATCGTTAAACTCTTAACAGAAAAACCCATAATAGATCATTCAAAAGTAAAAGATATTTATGAGGTAAAAATAAACCTTTTTTTATATTCTAACATTTCCACCTGAATTTGAAGAGGCTTATAAATATATAATCATATATATATACACACGTATCCATAAATATCAATGTTTAGGTTGCAAAAAAATTAAGAATAGGGCTTCAATTTGCTTATTTTAAAGTAAAATGGGGTTTACAAAAGTGTGATATATCAACGTGTGAAAGAATGGTAAAACAGAAATTAGAAGATTATAAAAATTATCCAAATAAGCAAAGAATACATCTTCCATTTAATGTTTCTCCTGTACCTCCATCAAAAAATAGATTTACTGATGAAAAAGCTAAAGCTGTCTTTGAAATACTTGATTCATTAGTAAATCGACCTGGATCATCATCATCTAACATTAATAATATTAACAACAATAGGAATGATAATAATAACAAAAATATTAACATCAATAAACAACATTTAAATCATAATGATGAAATCTCTTCTTCAATAGGTAATCAATCAATCAATCAATTTGTTAACTTTATTCATTTATTTATTTGATCTTAATGATATTATTTTTTTTTGGCTTACTATTATTATTTTATCATCATCATATCAAGAATTAGCTTCACTACCATCATTTGATACATATTCTCTTGAACAAGATTTACCTCCATTTTTCCCAATAGGGTTGAATCTTAATTCCATAGAACTCTATTTAAATTCAATAGGAAGAAATTATGTATCAGATAGATTTAATAATAATAACAACAATAATCAACATATTAATAATTACATGATTAACAATAATTGTCACTATCAACATAAACATCAACATAATAATGATAATCATAATCATCATCATCACTTGTGGGCATTAACGGACTTTGGATCACCAAAAATAACAAACTCTTCTTTATCATCATCATGTAGAAGGAAAGTAGATTGGGGTGAAGATTTAAATCCTGCCACTAAATACCAAAAAATTCAAAAAACAACTTTTAGTCCATGGAAGGAAAACAATGATGCTTCTTCATCTTCATCTTCATCTTCTTCAAAGGATTTGATTGAATGTCCAAGAACACCACCAAACCAAATTCGATCAATTAATGATATGAAAACACCAGATACTGCATTTTCATTAAGTGAATATTTGAATATGTCTCCTATGCAATAGTAACATATATATATGTACATATATATATATTATTTTTTTTAACAAAAGCATTTTATGATTTCTTAATATTTTCTTATTTCAAATGTATAAAATTGAAGAATAATTATAAATAAAAATAATGATTAAGCAAAATTAAATAATATTTATCTATGTACTTTTTTATTTGTTATTGATATCATCACAATATTATTTTAAAATAGTGTATATATTCATGTGTTTAATTAAATAAAGTTCTTTTATAAAATAATAATATTTTTTTAAAATTTTTCGAAAAAAGTTAATTTGTCATAATTATCTCCGAAAAGAAGAATAGTTATCTTT